TTTTTTTTTTTTTTGGTATATATGTGCTTTAAAAGTTGTTTTCCAGTTTCAGTTCCTTTTGAGAGCCCTTTGTCCATTGCAGGGGAAAGAGGCATGGAAAAGCAGGGTGGGCAGCCAGCCAGGGGTGAGCCATGGAAGTCCTGCTGTGGTTGCCATAGTCACACAGGAACTCCTCCCAGGCCAGGATGGGGATGAGGGATGAGGATGCGGTGAGGCCTGCCTGGTGTCATGCAGAGTGGTCTGCCAGTTCCCACTCTTGCTGTTGAGTGAGCAGCCTGTCTAGGTGGTTTGTTTCTCTAGTTGCATATCCATGCAGTCAGTTTTGCCCGGATACTGAATAGTACATGTAGCAGCCAGTGGAGGGGTCTTGTCCTCAGCGCTCACTGTGAGGTCCCCATGGTCTCCCATCGCGACCTCACCCAGGAGCACTTCTTGGTGGCTCCCATATCTCTGCCTTGGCCGTCTATCTTCACATCTTCTTCCTTTCCATTTTCAATCAATTCGTCTACTCTTCCTTTCTTCACACAGCAGCTCCACTTTGCTTACCAAATCTTCTCTTGGCTTTTCGTTCTAAGAGGTAAGAAGAGCTAGAACTGAAAAGCATTTATAAGTCAAGTTACAAAGGTAGAAAGGGAATCTTAGCGTGAGCCATCTCTCAGTGCCTATTAACAGACTTAAGCAAGTCCTGACTGGCACTGCAAGACCCAAACACAGAGAGGACACGAGGGAAGGGGGAATGACAAGACATAAACTCAGTGAAACGCCAGTAGGAGGGCTGACTTCAGAAGTCACATTTCTTCAGTACACCATAGTTCTCCTAGGTACGCAGACTTAAAATCTGTAGAGCCTCTCCCGACCTCTCCATGTTCTCCACCCTTCATCTAATCTCTCCCAAGCCCATCCTCTCATTCCTTCTATCACCCAACTACCTTCCATGGCATTCAAGTCAAAGCCTTTGTGGTTTCTCAGGTGGGTGGTACAACAGACTCCTAACTGGTCTCCCTGCACAGACCTCCTCTTTCTACTTCATTCCACCACTGTCTAGGGAGACCAACCTGCTCCCAGTTGCCCAGAACTCTCCCAATTTTAGCACTGAAAATCTCATGTCCTTGGAAACCCCTTACTCCCAGGCAAACTGAGACAGCTGGTCACTTTAGATTACAATCATCCCCTAAACACTGCTTGGATCCTGTCACTTTTCTGAACAAAGTGTTCCCTGCTTCCTATTTCTCATTAAAATAAACCCTCAAGCAGGCCCCAAATCTGCCTCAGAAGACATAGAAGAAGGCACATTGGACTAGGTAAAGAAACAATGACTTGGGCCTTCCTGGTGGCACAAGGGGTAAAGACGCAACCTATGAAGCTGTCTGCAGCCGCTGCAGCACGGGTTCGATCCCCGGCCAGGGAGCTACCCACATGGTGTAGCAGACCTCTCCTGACTTGTCCACTGCTCCCCTCAGCAGTGTATTTCGGTCAATCTGCCTGTTCTGTTCCCTGCTCTGTCTCTGGTGAATCCTCTCAGCCCTACATGTCCAGCCTGTACCTCAGTTCTTGTATGCATAAATAAATCTTTTTTAAAAAAGAAAGAAACAATGACTCTAGGAATGACTTTTCAGAACCCTGGAGACCCTGTGCAAGTAACACAATCTGGCTGAACCCCTGGTTTCCTCATCTGTAAAATGAGAATGCTAATGAAGCGGGTGTGTACCGTTAATTTAGCCCTTGAACAACCACAGGTTCTTGTCCCATAAAGCCATAAAAAGGAATTCACAGACTTTTTAGTTACTAGAGAAAAGCAAATTTTGTTCAATAAAGGGAAGTTTATTTAAAGTAAGAAAGCAAGGACACTCAGATACACTGTACCTGGATGGGGGTGAGGGGGTGGGGGAAGAAGACCTTGTGGGCCGTGTCTAGAAGTATTTAAACTTTTTTTCTCCTAAAATCTCATCATCCTACCCTGTGATTGGCTCTCTCTCCCAGTGGCCATACTGCTCTAAGCAGATGTGCCCATTTTCCCAGCTCTTACTATAGGGCTTCTCCTTTTACCTCCCCTATCCACGGTCTTACTCTTTCAAGTTATTGTCCTTGTTTATTTAGTCCTCCTGGACTTTCTGAACTCATCTCTGGGTATGTTTTGGTTAGTAACTCTTAGAATTTACTGTCCTTATCTCAGAAGCCTCTTAGACTCTCCCAAAGCCCCTGCCTGTGCTGTCCCTGAAGCTGCCTACTTAACCTAACTTGCCCTGGGACTCACTAAGTCAGCTCCAAAATTCTCTACTGCTGTTCTTCTATATACCCTGTGCTCCAACCAGACTCACCAGCTCACTCTAATCCAAATACACCCTATACAATCTCACCTCTGTGCCTTTAATCTCTTCCTTCTCCCCACCAGAATTTCTCTGTTTTCTTCCCTATCCACCTGAATGTGGGGCCTCCCTGGCAGCCGGGGAGTTAAATCTCAGTGCTATCCCCTATCCACATGAATGCTTTGAGGAACAATATTAATCTCACTTCCCAAGGGAAGCCTGGCCCAGCCCATGAAAGTCCCTGGGGAATGGAGTTGGCATCAGAGACCAGGGTCTCTATTTATTCCCCATCTCTGCACCCAGGCCATGCCAGCATGCACGTAGGAATTCTCACACTCAGGATTTATCATTCCTGCTCCTGCATACAAAATGTTTTTCTATGTGGAGCTTTTTTATTTCAACTGGATTAAAATCTCCCTGCACTTTTGTGATTTCTGTGTAGCATTGAAAGCACAGTCAATAATAGCAAATGGTATTACTAATAATTGAGTGACGTATGGGAACACGGGAAAAAGTTCAACAAGGAATCTAGTGAGACAAAAGTAGAAGGATAAATTCTAGATAAAACTAGAATTTTTTGCCCTGACACAAGATTCTCAAATGTTTTCATAATTCAATATTTTGCTTATTTCAAACATTTACTAAGAATCTCCTATGCTTAAGATATTCAGGAATGACATGGGTGCAGAGATAGGGAATAAATGAAGACCCTGGACCCTGACAGCATCTCTATTCAGGAATCACAGATAGTCCATGTTGTCCCTCAACTCTAACTTATCAGTAAGACCTTAGAAGACTCAAGGGGAGGCAGCTCCACCATCATCACTCCCACCCGCCTCCCAAATTGATCAGGTATCTAATTCTACCACTTGTCTGCAGAGCTGTTAAATTTTTAAAAAATTCAAAATAGGTCAACAGATTAAAAATCAACAATTACCTATATAAGTAGGACATTAGCCCTAAGACAAATCTCTTCCAAGAACTATATCCTGGTCATAGACTTAGAATCTCTAGTTTCTGCTCCGACAGATTGATAATCTTCTTAAGTAAGATTTGAAAGTTCCTCCATTAGTCTTGGTAATTGACACATATTAAAGATGAACTCAACCTAGACCTCTGCCCCTTGGGACCCCCCCCCCCAGAATGCACACATGCATACACACACTACCCTAATTAAATGGGGCTGGGACTTGAACAATGTCACCTACACTAATGACAAACAGGTTTGTGAGCAAGTGGGGGAAGGAAATAAACCAAACGGTTTGCAGAGGGAGAGGTCAAACTGGGCTGAGCTGGGCTGGACCCAGAGTGATTCAGGCTCTGCCCCAGAATGGGTGTCTCCTGGGATGGCCTATTAGGATAATTAAAATCCACATAAATAGGATGGGTTTTCAGCTCTCCAGTATCCTCTCCAGCTTCTGCATCTTCGGCTCATTCCTCCTCAATCAGGTAAGACATGCATGGGGTAGCAACAACAGAGTCCACGGGGCTCTTGATGGTGGCTGGGATGCGCTGGTCTGAACTGTGTCCCTGTGGCTGACAGTGTTGGGTGCCCTCCTGCCACTGCTTCTTGGTTTTGTCTGAGAATATGTTGATATGGGGCAGCCTGCTTTTGAACCTATAAAATTCTATGCCTTGGTTTCCACATGTCCTAGACATCCTAAAACTGTGAGCTAGACATACTAAAACTGTGAGCTAGAGTGCATAGTCCCCCATGGAGGAACATTTACCTTTTGTGCAAGTTAGGCAAAACCCAAGAATGTATAGCATCAGGGTGTAAGGCTCCGGTGGGGCCTGCAATAAATTGATACAAGGCTTGTCCTATGCAATCATTATTTGCCTCCTCTCCTTATAGATATCACTGCATGCTTTTGGAAGCCCAGTGTGTTTTTCAGCAAGGATTTCAGTTTGGAGGCTTGGAAACTCAGTAGCTAGACTCACTGCAAAAGACATATCATCCAGATCCAGATCTCAAAAGACTCTAGCCTCCCACAGGGACAATATGAACCTAGCTGACTGAGTATACTTCCCATTATCTGTGAGTTTCCTCCCGCTTGCTCTTTTTATTTGTAACAATTTTTGTACTCACTGATTCTACTTTGCAAGCATAATCCCAAAATGACCATTCTGGCCGGAAGCACTTGTTGGAATTTAACCTTTCAGAGAATCTCCTTGGCCCGATGCGAGAGACTGCTCGCCTCCTTCCCCACTTGAACAATGTTCATTAGAAGACCGAGGGCTGTTCAGTGGCGTCTATTTAGTGCCCTTCATTGGTTAAAATTATGCCTTACTGCTTTGCTTTCTGGCACTGCCTCCAGGGTTTCCTAATCACCCTTCCTTTTCATTCTAATCATGAGAATTTCAACAAAGCAAGTCCCACCTGGAGTAGAGGAAGAGGCATGTAAACATCTACCATATATATTTTGGCTTTCAGGAAACAGCCACTTTTTCTAGCAAGAGACACAGAGTTTGCACCCATTTCCCACAGTAGCACCCGATATTGGGAACCTGATTTTGGTTCAAAGGGATTGAAGGGTATGGTTAAGAAGGGGCTCTAACAAAGAGGGGTCACTTTCTAAACTTCTTTTCCTGACAGAAGGGCCACTTGCCCTCTGAAAATGCTGTCTCCTGGTCTTCATCTTAAATACACACAGAATTTCATTTCTTCTTTCAGGTTCACCTGTCTTTGTCAAAATGGCTCAACTCCTGCGCAGCATACTCACCTTGATCGAAGTGTTCCAGAAATATGCCAAAGAGAATGGGGATTGTACCTCGCTGTGCAAGAAGGAGTTGAAGCACCTGCTTTTGACTGAGTTTGGAGATGTCCTCCGGGTAAGACGCATAGATTTTTGGTCCCATGGAGTGAAATGTAAGTGACACTGACACTTACACCCAAGACTTGATTTTTTTTTTAAACAAACAATTGGTGGATTCTTTCTGATTTCCTTTTTTTTTTTTTTAAATTTATTTATTTATTTATACAAGCACTGGGTATAGTCAGAAGCGCGGGAGTGTGAGAGAATTCACCAGAGCCAGAGCGGGGAGCACAGCAGGCAGAAGGACCGAAGTACACTGCTGAGGGGAGCAGCGGGCGGCAGGAGAGGTCTGCGAGCCATGTGGGACCCTCCTCTGGAGCAGCCGGGGATTGAACCGGCGCTGCAGAGGCTGCGGGAAGCTTCACAACCCAGCACTCAACCGCTGTGCCACCGGGGAAGCCTAAGACTTGATGTTTTTATTTGCACATGTTCTTCCTGTAACTAAAAGAATTTCCTTAATACTTCTCTCCCAGCACACATACACACAGGCATACTATGTGCACAGGCAGACAACATGCTCACACACACACACACATACACACACCTTCTTATACTTGCGTTTGAGCAAGTAGAAGTACAGCTTCAAACTGAAAATCATTTCTCACAAGAAAATGTGAGATGATATATTGATTTCTATAGTTTAGTACTATCTACACATCTTATTGTTCATTCATTCATTCATTCATTCATTCAATAAAGAGTTGTTGAGCACCTGCTCCATCACTAGGCATTGGGGACTTAAACATGAATAGAACCAGTCTCTTCCCTGCAGGATTTCACAAGATGGTGGGAAATGAGTATATATTTACTTATTTATAAGTAATATAAATGAATATAAATAGTATATAAAAAATTAGAATATTGCATATCAGGGGATAGAATAGCTTCTCCCAAATGACTCAAAGTAATTATTGCCAGAGATGATTTAAACAAGTGTATCTACTTCCCTGCAGTTATAGTCTTATTGCTCCAGTGGGAGGAAGTACTGAGAACCAGCTGCTCAAAGCCAAGAACCCAGCCTAACCCACTTCAGATTAATGGTTTCTCACTCAAGGTGGGGGGAAGGAGCTAATGGACTGAATGAACTAGGGCATGGACATTGGCACATATGTTAGTATCCATAGGAAAACATCTAATTTTTCTCTTTTTGATTTTCTTATAGAAACCAAATGACCCAGAGACTGTGGAAACCATCCTGAACCTCTTGGATAAAGACAGAAATGAACGTGTTGATTTTCGTGAATATCTCCTGTTGGTGTTCCAACTGGCCCAAGCCTGTTATCATCAGCTGGATGATGGGTCATGTGGAGATAGCAATTCTCAACAAGAAGAGGAGAAGGAGGGAACAAGAGACCATGGGTTTCCAGGAAATACAAGCAGACAACAAAGACAGAGGCATGAAGAAGAAAGATGGGACTCCCACTATGGTCAGTCTGAGAGACAAGAGAGGGACTCACGACATGGTCAGTATGAAAGACAAGACAGGGGCACCCACCAAGGTCAGTCTGAGAGACAAGAGAGGGACTCTCACTGTGGTCAGTCTGAGAGAGAAGGAAGAGATTCCCACCATGGTCAGTCTGGGAGACAAGAGAGGGACTCCCACCATGGTCATTCTGAGAGTCAAGATAAGGACTACCATCATGGTCAGTCTGAGAGACAAGGAAGAGATTCCCACTGTGGTCATTCTGAGAGCCAATATAGGGACTCCTACCACGGTCATTCTGAGAGGCAAGGAAGACACTCCCACCATGGTCAGTCTGAAAGCCAAGACAGGTATTCCCACTATGGCCATTCTGAGAGACAAGGAAGAGACTCCCACTGCGGTCAGTCTGAGAGACAAGATAGGGATCACCACCATGGACATTCTGAGAGGCAAGGAAGACACTCCCACCATGGCCATTCTGAGAGACAAGGGACAGACTCCCACTGTGGTCAGTCTGAGAGAAGAGATAGGGTCTCCCACCATGGTCATTCTGAGAGACAAGGAAGAGACTCCTACCACGGTCAGTCTGAGAGCCAAGGGAGAGATTCCCACCATGGTCAGTCTGAGATCCAAGATAGGGACTCCCACCGTGGTCATTCTGAGAAACAAGGAAGACTCTCCCACCATGGTCAGTCTGAGAGCCAAGGGAGAGATTCCCACCATGGTCAGTCTGAGAGCCAAGATAGGTACTCCCACCATGGTCAGTCTGAGAGCCAAGATAGGGACTCCCACCATGGTCATTCTGAGAGACAAGGAAGAGACTCCCACCATGGTCAGTCTGAGAGCCAAGATAGGGTCTCCCACCATGGTCAGTCTGAGAGCCAAGATAGGGACTCCCACTGTGGTCATTCTGAGAGACAAGGAAGAGACTCCCACCATGGTCAGTCTGAGAGCTGGGATAGGGTCTCCCACCATGGTCATTCTGAGAGACAAGGAAGAGACTCCCACCATGGTCAGTCTGAGAGCCAGGATAGGGTCTCCCACCATGGTCATTCTGAGAGACAAGGGAGAGACTCCCAGTGTGGTCAGTCTGAGAGCCAAGATAGGGTCTCCCACCATGGTCATTCTGAGAGCCAAGGGAGAGACTCCCACCATGGTCAGTCTGAGAACCAAGATAGGTACTCCCACCATAGCCATTCTGAGAGACAAGGGAGAGAGTCCCACCACGGTCAGTCTGAGAGCCAAGGGAGAGACTCCCACCATGGTCAGTCTGAGAGCCAAGATAGGTACTCCCACCATGGCCATTCTGAGAGACAAGGAACAGACTCTCACTGTGGTCAGTCTGAGAGACAAAATAGGGTCTCCCACCATGGTCATTCTGAGAGACAAGGAAGAGACTCCCACCATCATCAGTCTGAGAGCCAAGATAGGGACTCCCACCATGGTCATTCTGAGAGACAAGGGAGAGACTCCCACTGTGGTCAGTCTGAGAGACAATATAGGGATCACCACCATGGTCATTCTGAGAGACAAGGGAGCGACTCCCACCATGGTCAGTCTGAGAGCCAAGATAGGGTCTCCCACCATGGTCATTCTGAGAAACAAGGAAGAGACTCCCACCATGGTCAGCCTGAGAGCCAAGATAGGCACTCCCACCATGGTCATTCTGAGAGACAAGGGAGAGACTCCCACTATGGTCAGTCTGAGAGACAAGACAGGGACTCACACTGTGGTGAGCGTGGGACAGAAGAAAGGGACTCTAGCTTTGGTCAAAGTTTAAATCATAAATCTAGTAGCAACCAGACTAGAAGGCAAGGATACATCCTTGCCTTAAATCAATATGAAGAACAAGTGCAAACTTCTGGTTATGGCCAGTCTGAAAGGCTTGGACTACAGTCGAGCTATGGTCAATCTAGAAGACTAGGGGAGGACTCTTATTCTAGTCATACAAACCAACAGGAAATAGGGTCTTATAGACCAACTGGGAGGCTGTGTCAGGAATCAGGTCTTGGCAATAGATATGGGCAAGAAACTGATTCTCAATATGGCCAGACAGTCAACCAAGCCCAGAGTTCCCACTATGGTCAGACAGAAAGACAAGGCCTAGGATCTCAGTATGGCCAGACAAACAGACAAGGCCAGAGTTATGGTCAGACAGACAGACAAGCCCTAGGATCTCAGTTTGGTCAGCCTGGCAGACAAGGCCAGAGTTATTGTTATGATCAGACAGAGAGACAAGGCCTGAGCTCTCCATATGACCAGAAAGACAGACAAGGTCAAAGTCATTGTTATGACCAGACAGGCAGACAAAGCCAGAGTTATGATTATGGTCAGACAGACAGACAAGGCCTGAGCTCTCCATATCACCAGACAGATAGACAAAACCAGAGTTATTGTTATGACCAGGCAGGCAGACAAAGCCAAAATTATAGCTATGGTCAGACAGAAAGACAGGGTCTAAGCTCTCCATATGGTCAGTCAGCCACAGGGGAAAATAGGCAAAACAGGTACTTCCAAGAGAAAGAGGGATCTAACAGAGACTCGTATGTTGAACAACCAGGGAGGTCTGGGATGCAAAGTCAACAGACTCAAGGACATAGATACCAGCCTAGCGAAGCACAGTGGGCCAGCCACCAGGCCTGGGGGAGTGAGAAGGATAGCTACCTCCCCCAACACAAACTTGTGGCACAAATCCAGCAAGAAAGGCCATCATGCAGTAGTGAGCAGGGTCACAGACAGACCCAGACCAGTCAGAGTTGCACTGTGGGGCAGAGCCAGAAAAAGGAAGAGCAAAACCATCAAAACTGGGGTAAATGTGGTCAGGAAGGTAAGGAAAGTCCATGTGAAGCACGAGGCAGGAAAAGCCATGAAGAACAAAGCCATCAGACAAGAGGTAGGCAAACCCACAGAGAGGAAGAGAGCTGTCAGACAAGGGGCATGCATACCCATGGAGAACAAAGCCATCAGACAACGGGCAGGCAAACCCATGGAGAACAAAGCCATCAAACAAGGAGCAGGCAAAGCCATGGAGAGGAAGTGAGCTGTCAGACAAGGGGCAGGCAAACCCATGGAGAACAAAGCCATCAGACAATAGGAAGGCAGATCCATGGAGAACAAAGCCATCAGACAACGGGCAGGCAAATCCATGGAGAGCAAAGCCATCAGACAAGGAGCAGGCAAACCCATGGAGAGGAAGATCACAACTGTCAACAACAGAATAGGCAAACCCACGAGGAGAAAGAGAAGTACCAAGGGTCCCAGGGCCAACAATCCCATGGGATAGCACAAGGGGGCTGTGCTGACAGAGAAAAATTCCCAGGTTCACAGGGAAGGGGCAGTGGGGTGAGCCTCCACCCACTCCAGAGCAGTGGGAAACCCCAAATAAGAGAACAGAGTGGAAGCCAAAATCCCTGGACAGCTGTCGGTGCCAACCCCCTCTATGACTACGTGCAAGAGCAGAAAGCACAAGGGCACGAGGCTATGCATCAGTGCTGAAGCTATAAGAAGCCAAGGGGAAAGAATTCTCTGTGTCAAGTTCATCTGTTTAAGAGGCTTAAAATACATGACTTCCTCCTCTCCTGTGTTCTATCTACATGCTAGGATGCTTTGGGGAGCTAGTATTCTCTTTTAGGGCATTTCAGTTCTTTGAGAAGCAAGCAGTTCTCAGGTGGTGAAAAGTGGGTGAAAAGTGGGTAAAAAGTGAATGGTAAATTGGGTGAAATAATCAGATCCCAATTTTGATTAATTTGGGGATTTAAACAATTTCTTAGTTTTCCCTCCATGTAAGTGGGATATGGATGGATCATTGAAGGGTAGAAACTTCTCCCAAAAGTTCAGAAACAAGAAAGGTATTCTGAAGATATGGAGTACAAGAAGAGGACACCTGGACTTTGGTGAACTTTGGCTCCTATGGATGAAGCATCAGGAATCACAAACCTCAGACTGTTAAGTAAGATGAAACACCGTGAGCGACTAGTTGATGGAAGAGCCAGAGACCTCAGAGGGCATCTCTGATGTCATTAACACCTCCCCTGCCCAAGCTCCTATCCCTGATCAGAGGTCCTGTCTACTGAGCTCCTATTACTTGAGCTAACTGATCTGATTCCTACTCAATGCCTTTCAGTTTCTGATCATATAAAATAGAGAGAAAGCATACGTCATCTGTTTGCAGAGTCCAAGGAGCCAAAATTGTCAGTCCATAGCTCCTGGGGCTGAAAACCCTTCACAAGAAAATCTATGGAATTGTATTAAATCCCCAATAAATGATTGGTGAGCAAGGAACTTGATGATCCTTTTCCTTCTTCATGTAGAGCCATGCTATCTTCACTTGTGGGTCATTTCCCCATGAAGAAGACTTCATTTCTGAACTTCTACACTCTCTTTGATCCTGGAGTTCCTGGGCACTGAAAAAATAAGAATCAATATTAACCAAAACAAAAAACAAAAAACACACAACAGAGTCAAAAGGAACTTATCTAAATAGTTCCAGCAACTGTGCACTCCACAGGGGAGTCACAGTTGACCTTTCCCTCCCCACCCCCATTTACCTCTACATTGAAGTGGTCATTAAGTTTTGCAAACTCTACATCCTCCATATCTCTTGAATCTCTTCCTACTTCTTCATCTCCACTGCCTTAAACTCCCTTCTCCTTAGTGACTCCTCTGTGACTTTAGAATAAAATTCACCTTCCTTAGCATGGCACAAAACCCCTTTTACTCTCCGTCCCAGCTGTCCTACCCAGCCAAGTCTCACACAAGGTCCCTCCCAGGAGCATCTGATGCTCCAACCATGACAACTTTGCCTTTTCTTAGTACGCCATGGTCTTTCGTTATTTGTAACTTTGCATATACCATTACATAACCTGAAGTATTTCTCTCCCTTATCTGCCCGACAAAAACCGAGGTATCCTCTGTGTCCCAACTAAACATCACATCTTCTGAACAGCCTTCCTAGACACTCAAGCACCCCTTTCTCTATGTTCCCACTAACTTCCATTGTATCATTTATTATACCTTCTATCATAATTATCTCACTGACAAATTGGGAATAAGAGCATAATCTTATTCAACTCTTTGGCACTTAGTATAGCCACTGCATAATTTATTGCTTCTTGAATAAGTAGGCAGATAAAGGAAATTAATCTGACTTAGGAATAAATTCATTCGAATGTTTATTAGGTCTCTACAGATAAGGGAGTTTGAATGAGACCTATTCAATTGATGAAATAGTAACCATTTCATATAGTTTAAGCAAAGGGGGATTTAATGCCTAGAATTATAAAGATGGGATTATTAAAAATCAGTTGGCAATTTCTGGAACTATTGAATTCAATACATCACCAGTGCTGCAGCTGAGGAATCAGAAAGTTGGGATCTAGAAGCTGCTGGTATTGCTGCCAAACTGCCTGACATCCACACCTCCATTACCTTGTTTTCCAAAAAAAAAAAAAAGGCAAATTCACAGAACCTTCCAAATATCATGTAGATATAGCTAATTGGTAAAATATAATTCACATTCAGGACCTAGGTGCAAAGGTGTCTAGGAAATACAGGCATTAATGATGGATTCTGAGTGCCATTCAATCATATTTACCACAGAAAGGATATGAAAACTCACAAAACTCCTCAAGAAGGTTATACTCCGCAAGAAATACATGTACAGCAAGCAGTCATTAAACAAAGCAAGAGATCATGAATATTAAAAAAAAAATGCCATTAAGGCACCATGAGGGGTGTAAAGTGGCTCTGCCTGGAGGGTTGAGAAAGACTTTCATAGAGGAAAACTTCTAAGCTAGGGCCATGGCCCTGGGGTAAAGGGGACAGATAAGAAGATCATGGATTGTCCTGGACCTTAAGCTCAACGGTGAAGGCCATATTTTGACCACATTTTAAAGGACATAATTGTGAATCTTCCTCGCAAATGTTCTCTATAACTTAGACCCTCCCCAGAAAGCTTAAACCAGAGAGTGGAGAATAAACCCAAAGGTAAGGGTCTCAACATCTGGAAGGTGCTCAGGTTCATGGAGACTTTCAAACAGTCAGTGGAGCAGTGAAGGGTGGGATGACTTCAGGTAACCTAGGAAGAGGGAACAGTATAAGTACAACATGGAGAAGGAAAGTCCAGGGGTTTTCAATGAAGCAAAAGATCCATACATAGAACACTAATGAGAGAACATAGATAAAGTCAAAGCCTGAAAGGCAAATTGAGCCACATCAAGAAGGACCGAACATCCACTATGAAGAGTTTGGATTTTTTTTCTTTTAGTAGTAGTATTCACAAAAGTTTTCTGGGCAGAAGATGAGAGGATAAGACAAAATACTGGCAGAAGAGATGCTCGGGATGGAGAGAAATATGTAAATGTGGAGTTAGGTAAATGAAAGGACCCCATCACAGGCACAGCATATGCCCCCACTGCTCTTGGAACACAGCAGACTGGTGGACTATTCAGGCATTAAGGTCATGAGCCAAAGATCAGAAGGGAGGGACCACCTTCAAGAGGGTATGAAAGGAGGAGGAAAACATCCTAACGTGCTACAGAAGTGGCTCTACAGCTGGTTTTTAAAAAATGGCAGCTCTCCAGATCTAAGCCAAAGAGCAACTTTCTGAACTTCCTTAACTGAAAAGTTCAAACAGAAGACCATACCCTTAAGCACTGTCTCTATTCTAGAATTCTGAGAGAATTGTGCAAACTGTGAAGCTAATTCATAGTGCTTTCTCCAAAAATAATTAAATCAGAAAGACATCATTCCCTTGGAGAATAAAAATCTTTACTTCACTGCAGCCCCTCTTCCCTCTCCTTGGGACTCACTCCTCAGCCACCTTCTCTTCTTTTCTAACTACTGATTATTGTATCCAGTTCTGACTTTAAATATCATCACTATTTCAGAGACTGCCAAATCTTACTCCCCAGCCCTACCTCTTTTCTAAACCCCAGAATCATATATCCAATTATCTCCTTGACATTTCCATTTGGACATCAGAAAGTCCTCAATCTTAGCATTCCAAACAGTACTCTTGACTTAACCTATTTCTCCTCATTGTCCCCACTTCAGTAAGTTGGTGGCACCATTCACATTGCTCAAGCAGAATCCTTACGAGACATTCTTTACTGTAATCCCCCCAGATAAACACATAGGAAGTTCTTTTGTTTCTACCTCAAAATACAGGATAGCCCAAATCCACCATTCCCACCGCCTCCATCTCTCTCCTAGTATACAGCAACAGCCTCCTGATAGGGCTTTCTCCTCCTCCCTTGTAAAATCTAAAGCACATCATGTCCCTCACCAATGTAAAACGCTCAGTAGTTCCTCCCCGCACTGAGCATGTGATCCAATATTCTACCCAGGGTCTTCCTACAGGCCAGGACCCTTCCAGACACTCTCCTTTGCAGTCACTCTTTTCCAACTATGTGGGCCCTCTTTCCATGATTCTAACAAGAGAAGATGGTTCCTACTTTAAGGTCTTTGAAGCGGCAGTTTCTTTTGCCTGAAGTAGTCTTAGCCCCAATCATTCTGTCTCCTTCGTTCATTCAGGTCTCAGTCAACAAAGAGTCATCTCCTCAAAGAAACTTTCTCTGACATTTAACCTAAGAGCTGCCCCACAATCACACACTCTTTGTTCCTCCTGCTATTAGGAATTTTCACGTGGTATTCTTATATTATTGCGGATTGTCTCCTCGCCTCCCCATTATACCCCAGCACTTATGACCCATAAGAACAAGGACTTTTTCTTGTCTGCCACTGTATCCTGTGCATCAAAAAGACTGATAGGCTCGGGGTGCCTATCCAAGGTATGTGTGGACTGAGTGTTCACAAAAGCCCCACACAGTCTGGCTTCCATCCACATTTCCAAGTTCATTTCCCACAATAGATTCCAGCCATCTAGATTCCAACTTAATTGGACAACTTCCCAGTCTCCGTATCCCTGCTTGTACCATTTCCCCACTTAAATGCTCTCCTAACCTTCATTTATCAAAATTCTACTCAGTAGTAAATTAGCAACATCTTCAGGACCCTTCACCAGTAAAGAACTTAACACATTGCACTGAAGTCAGTTCTAAACCCACCTGTTTCCCATACCACGCTCTGAGGTTCTAGAAGACAGAAACTATCTACAGCAGTAAGCACAGTGACTGGTTAATTATATGGAAAGAACCTGAGGTTTATAATTTAAAAAAACTTGTATTTATGGCCTAACTCCACCATTTACTATTTTTATTATCTTAGAATAACTTCTTTATCTCTTTAAATGTTTCCTCATGTGTAAAATAGGGTTTTAAATTCCATTAGTGACTTAAAAAGTAAATTGAGATGACATACACAAAGTGATTAATAATCTGATATCTTTTTGGTTATTTAGCTGACATTTATTATCTTTTCCTCTTTTGCATTATTTTAATAAATGCTTAACAAATGCTAATCTGTAAAGCCCAACTTAAGTGCCAGCTCCTCCAAGAAAACTTCTTTGATCACCCTTGTTCCCAGACAGCAGTAGCGATTCTATTGTCTATAAGCAACATCTGTGGGAACCTCCCACAAATACCCTCTCAGTCTACAGTGTTGTCCATATGCAGGAACAGTCGTCACTCTGACTGTAATCGAAGCTCTTTCCGAAAAATATACACACCTATTCTTTATATCATTGTTATCATCTGGGGGGATTCTTCATATCATTGTATCATCATATCATTCTCAATGATACAAACTGGGTATGTGGTTGTCAAATCAACTGCTACTGAATGGACTCTCCATTGTATCACGACTCCCTCCGTATCTGGCACCCCCATCTGTGTCCGTTGTCCAATGCTGTCTTTAGTGCTGTTTTCATCCATCTGCCTTCCCCCACCAGCTAGGACCCATCCTTTCTCTCTCAGACTTTCTGTGCTCCCTGTCCCATTTATTTATTTTTTTAAAGATTTATTTATTTGTTTTATACAAGAACCGGGGTACAGGCCAGATGCGCGGGAGGGTGAGAGGATTCACCAGAGACAGAGCAGGGAACAGAACAGGCATACTGACGAAATACACTGCTGAGGGGAGCAGCAGGCAAGACAGAAGAGGTCTGCTGCGCCATGTGGGACCCTCGCCGGCTGGCTGGGATCAAACCATTGCCTCAGAGGCTATGGACAGCTTCACAGCGTGGTGCTCAACCGCCTGTGCCACCAGGGGAGGCCCTCCCTATCCCATTTAAATAGAAGTCCTGAGAACCAGGGAATGTCCCCTCCACTACCAGCATTCACCATGACTTATGGGATTCCAGACCACGGTCGCTCTGTTTTCTTACTCCTTGCTCCATTTCTCACTTTGCCTTGCAGTCCAAGCCCAGCAAGTCCTATCCCTAAACTCCTTGAAAGACCAATTCCAAGTTTACCTCCCCTAATCCTCCTTCAGGTGTCTATGGATTTTAATATATTCAGGTTATTCATCGGCATTTTTTTTTCTGAGAGCAGCATGTTCTTCTGTGGCTTCAAATATTCAGTTCTTCCCACCGAAGCTATAAGGTCCTTAAGAAACTGACACATCTCCTATTCCTCTGAGAACCCAGCACAAAATGGGTTGGCATCCATTGTTTGACTAATTTATTGGGAGTCTAATTTCAATTGAGCTATTATGGAGTACCCGCTGTCAAAATAGACTTTTTTTTATTTTGTATATGAAGAACTTGAATTCTTGAGAGGAAAGGGTCTAAGAACATCTATTAAGCACATAACAACTGTCCAAGGGAAAGAGCATGAACCACAAGTCAGGAACTTGATTTCTAGTCCTGCCACTGCTACTGATGTCACATACGACTTTGGGTGATTTTTGTTCCCATGTACTGCTCCAGTTTTCTCATCCTTAAAATGAGGAGTTTTACATAATACACTCTAAAATGTCCCCTTCTACTCTGTAATGGTATGATTTTATAACTAAGCCTAGATGAATCAGTCTGAGTAAGAACTGCAAATATTCTAGAGACTGAAACACACCTTGGAGGCCAAGATAAGGAAAATATCATATGGGACTCTACTGCCATCTACTGACCACTGAATTCCCTGTGTCCTTGAATGTCTAGACAATTTTACAAACCCTGCTAGGTAGGGAACTGATCACAGTATGGCGCTCTCTGTCCAGTGAACAAGTAAGACTTTTGTCATCTGGGCTGGTCACCAGTTTCTCCTACTGCAGCTATTGATGTTAAAGAGGCATACCAGCTGATTGCACTTCATCAGGGTGGAGGCAGGTGGCAAGCTATGCATATAAATAATGATGATTCTGTGTACAGCACTTGCTGATCACCTCACGCACAAAGGACTAAATCAAAAAGTGGTAGAAAGCACCCCGGAGGCTCAAAGGAGGGACAGATAATATGGGGGAGAGGGGAGGAACAGGATAAATATCTTCAAGGTAGAGGCATTTGTCCTGGAGTTCAATAAATGATCAGAATTCAAATAGGCAGAAAAATTTCTTCAATCAATATTGTACTTGTCCTTAAAATGTCATGCTATTTAAATCTCAAAAAAAAATTATCCCTACATCTACCTAGTCATTAATTTTTCCCCTCCTCCTGTCTGCTCCTGCTATTCTCAATCCTCTATGGTGATATTCTAATTCATTCTGCTTATTTTAAAGTTCAGAATTTGCACATCTGTCTTTCACATTGTCTTCCACATGCTTCCCTAAAAACAATGAAATCATCAAACTTAATCATTTATAAGGCTCAACAAGCAATGCTTACTAATAACAGCAGCATTTATATATATATACATATATATAATATTGAATTCAAAACTCACAGATTCATTCATTTATTCATTCATTCATCCAACAAACTGATGACTCCAACTTGCTAAATGCAATGCTGGGCACTAGAAGGGATTTAAAGGTAGGGTATCTGGCATCAAAAAATCACAATCTGTGAAGCAGGAAAATAATCATAATTCCATACAATGGGTCCAAAAGAACAAATAATTGTTTGCAAATACAAGTAAAAAATAACCACCATTGGCAAGAATTCTTGCCAAAAGAAGCATTTGAAAATGAGTTAACATTAGAAAAGCAAATATGGGTGAGAAAGTCAAATGAAGTCACTGGGCTTAAAAGCATGAGACATGATCTGACCAGGGCTTTTAATTGATCAAGATAATAATAGAGGAATGGCAAAATGTGATTGCTTTAAGTTAAAAAAAAACACGGGCCTCCCTGGTGGCGCAAGGGTTAGGACGCAACCTATGGGGTAATCCGCAGCCACTGCAGCATGAGTTCAATTCCCAGCCAGCCAGGGAGCAACCTACATGGCACAGCAGACCTCTCCTGACTCGCCCGCTGCTCCCTTCAGCAGTGTACTTCGGTCAATGTGCCTGTTCTGTTCTATAGTCTGTCTCTGGTGAATCCTCTCACCCCTCATCCCCCGCACCTCTGGCCTGTACCCCAGCTCTTGTGTGCGTGAATAAATAAAAAAAAAAGAAAAAAGATTAAAAAAAAACAGCATGACACCAAATGCAAAGGGAGCAAAATTAAAAATAGGTACATTGGACTACATCAAAATCAAAATCCTCTGTGCACCAACAGACACAATCAACAGAACAAGCAACAAGGAGAAAACTCACAGTATGGGAGGTATTTATAAGTCATATCTAATAAAGAATTAATACCCCAAATATATAGAAATAATTCCTAAAACCCAACAACAAAGAAAACCCAGATAATCCAACTGAAAAGCATTCAAGATTCAAGGACTTGAAAAGACATTCCTTCGAAGAAATATACAACAGCCAACAAGTACCTGAAACAACACACATCACCAATAATAGGGAAGTGTGATTCTACCTCACACCCACTAGGATGGCTACTCTAAAAAATAAAAATTTTATTTTTGTTATTTTTTTTAATTGAAGTAACATTTGCACTATAACATTATATAGGTTTCATCAAGCCTCATCAAGAGTCCAAAAGCGAACATTAGGTTCACAGCTAAAAGATCAATTCTATCCTTCACCATACTATGGTCTGATTTCTCCCTAGTTACCCCCATTTTCTCCCTTCCCTTCCATAATTAAACTTTTTTGAAAAAGAAACTAACAACTGTTGACAAGAATGTGAAGAAATTAGAAGCCCTGTCCACTGTTAATGTGTATGTAAAATCGTGTGACTGCTATGGAAAATAGTGTGGTGGTTCCTAAAAAACGGAATTATCATATGAACTAACAATTGCATTTCTGGGTCTATAGCCAAAAGAATTAAAAAACGTCTTTAAAAAAATCTTAAACACATAATTGTGCAGCATGTTAAGCAACATTATTCCCAATAATCAAAAGATGAAAACAACCCAAGTGTTTACCGACAGGTGGATGGATAAAGAAGATGTGCTCTACACAGACAGCAGAATATTATCAGCCTTGGAAAGAGGAGATTCTGACACATGCTGCAACACGTCCTTGAGGACATCCTGCTTACTAAGTGAAAGAAGCTAGTCGCAGGAAAATACTGTATGAATGCTCTATATGAGGTATCTAGAGTAGTCAAGTTCATAGGTGAAAAGTGAAATAATAGTTGCCAGGGACCAGGGTAGGAGAGGAATGGGGCATTATTGTTCAATGGTTTTGTAAAATGAATACTGGAGATTGGTGTTGCCACAATGTGAACGCACTTAGCACCACTGAACTATACACTTAAAAATGACAAAGATGGTAGATTAAAAAAACTAATACAAATTAAGGTTAAAAAGTAATATCCAGGGCCTCCCTGGTGGCGCAGGCAGTTGAGCTTAGCACTGTGAAGCTGTCCGCAGCCTCTGCAGTGCCGGTTCGATTCCTGCTGGCCTCAGAGCAACCCACATGGCGCAGCAGACCTCTCCTGTCTCACCCACTGCTCCCCTCAGCAGTGTATTTCATCAGTCTGCCTGTTCTGTTCCCCACTCTGTCTCTGATGAATCCTCTCACCCTCCCGCGCATCTGGCCTGTACCCAGCCTCTTGTATAAATAAAACAAATCTTTTAAAAAAAAAAAAAAAGTAATATCCACATAGGGAGGGAATAGGACTCTCTGCCCTTCACTGCTCAGTCCAGACAACAAAAAGAGGCACTGAAACCTGGAGTGCTTTCAGAGGAAGGTGGTAAGTCTCTCTCCAAGAGAAGAGTGAAGGATATCAGAGGCATTTGCAAGTGTCAGCAGACTGTAGCATAGAATAAGGAGCAAATCTACATTGCTTCAAAGAGTAAGGTTAGATTCAGTTGGTACAAGTTTAAAAAAATGATTATAGCCGTTTTAATGGGTAATATGTATATTACCCATAATAATATAATTTCCCTATATTTAAAATAGCCCCCAAACAGAGTCGGCTGTTTTGGAAGTAGTAATCTTCTCATCCCTCGCTCTGCCTAAGAGACCATACAGCCATCAGTCTGAATCGCCACAGATGTGAGTTAGATGATTTCTTTTTTTTTTTTTTTTTTTTTTTTTTTTTTTTAAAGATTTATTTATTTATTTATACAAGCACTGGGTACAGTAAGAAGCGCAGGAGGGTGAGAGAATTCACCAGAGACAGAGCAGAGAGCAGAACAGGCAGATTGACGAAGCACACTGCTGAGGGGAGCAGCGGGCGGCAGGAGAGGTCTGCGCACCATGTGGTACCCTCTCGGCGACCGGGGATCGAACCGGCGCTGCAGAGGCTGCGGGCAGCTTCACAACCCAGCGCTCAACCACTGCGCCACCGGGGAGGCCCATGAGTTAGATGATTTCTAAGATGAGCTCGATGATCCAATTCTCTGATTCCATCAGGTAAAGGGGTCGCCCCGTGCAGCATCCCACCAAATGCAGAAGTCTCTCACTTGGCATCCAGCATCACTTAGGATTTGGTTTTAAAGCAGTAAAGTTCTGGGATATTTTCACTTTGTGCCTTGCTCCCAGATGGGTTTGTGGTGAGTCACATGAGAAGTAAGAGAAGCCAGACTTCACATTTAATCCCTCCATGTGCTGAGCAGAGAACTGAGGGGCTCAAGGACACCAAGGTCTCACTCCTGGCGTGAAGGCGGGTGGCACAGCCAGCAGTGCTGCGCAGGCAGGGCTTGCAAGCCCACTGTGAGCAACAAAGGACCAGAGAGGCCAAACAGGCTGGCATGTTCTGTGCAGGCAGCTCATTGTACTTGGGCTTCTGTAAATCTCCCAAGCTCTTTTAGAAAACATCTGCGCTTCCATACCTATTAACCTCATCAGAGAGTTAACCCCACATATTTACAAACCAAAACGTCCCTGTTCTGTTCTCTTCATTTGTCTTTGAAGTTCAAAGAGGAGAGAGGTTGAAGAGTCAATAAATTACCAAATTACCTCTCTTCTCTAGGATTCGTTCCCATTGACAGAAACAA